ATTTGAATAACCGAATAGCTGCGCATGATAATTAAAATGACCCAATGGTGCCCAATTGGACGCAATTGTCGACTGTACGTGGACTCTATAACACCTCTATATAATCTTTGTATCAACTCTATATAGAGATGCTATAAAGTTAATATAAAGTTGATAGACAGTCGACATTTGTGTCCAATTGGGCATTGTTGGGTCATTTTAGTTATCACGCGCAAATATTGCAACATTTGGTTATTTAAAAATTATTCGTAGTATTTTATACGTTATTAATTACTTTTTATCTCTCCTGATATTTTTCACCCATCTAACCTTACTACCATATTTTTCGTATTACAGAAGGAAACGGTTTTCGCATGCTCTTTGGGAACCTAAATTGAACTGTTACCAGACTGCGTAAGTAATAAGTAGACATCTCTTAGAGAGTTCAGTTGTTGAAGGTGGTCGGAAAAAAGCACTTTCCGAAACCCACATCCTGATGTTACTCAACTATCTTCGCCTCCGGCCGCAGGACAACTAATAATTCAGCCTTAGGTAATTGATCTTTTCTATTCGAAAACAAATTTTTTAACTTTGCCTTACATTTTAAATGGTAAATATAAAGTCATTTTAATACCGACGAAGAAAGAGTCATCTTCCCAATTAGAATTGTTTGGTCACAGGAACGTTTTTTGTATGCAATATGCGAAAAAGAACGTATTTAGCATGTGCCAGCATTGAGGAGCATGTAAATTTAAATGCAAATAGAAATGTCTATTATATATTTGCTGCGTGCGTCAGCAATTACTGGTAAAATGAGGATTTTGTGTAGAAGTGAGTGGTGGCTTACAGGAGTGTCCAGTATTTTCAGCAATTAATGTGCTAGGAGTCTTCCCAGAATTGTTCTCTGAAATATTGACCGTTAAATTGCTTTCCGGTCCCAGGTAGGTGGCTGCACTGGAGTTCAAGTTGATTGGCGACTGGACCCACCCAGAACACATTACCGGGAAAAGATAGGGCCATTGGCTTGGGTCAGTTTTGGGGTTTGAGTAAGACCAGCTCGAAACTATTCAGATGATGAAAACAGAAGAGATGGGAAACGAAGAAGGAATAAAGACTCCACGTAAGGCAGTAAAATTGCGAAAATAGAAGGACTGTGGGGAGTGCCAGGTTTGTGAATTAGTGGTTTGAAACCAGACAAACCTGGTGGATGACTGTATTGCCATAATTTCCTACTCAAGTGAATGGAATTATATTTTAATGTAATTAGTTGCCATACTGGCGGCATAGGTACTAGCTAAATGTCAAACTTTCATGGAAACCAGCATTCTCAAAAGTAGGCTGGGAATACTGTTTATCAAGGTATTAACACTATCAGCACATTTTACCATTTCACTGGTTATTTGTTTTCCGAATCATCCGAATTGCATAATTAAAAACATGGTTTTTTTAGAAGCACTGTCATATGAATTTTGTTGGAAACAGCACAAATTAGCAAATAGCAATGATCCTGTTTCAAAACACGCGTTTATCTACTGTTTCCTGTATATTGCACTAAATTAGTTGACAATGACCGTGGACTTGCGTTGTATCTATTACATCCTTCTTTATCTCAGCCACCTGGTCTCGGTGTCAAGGCAGAGTCAGTACGGGGGCTGAAACGGACGCATTGGTTGTCATCGCAAAACACGTCGACTCCGCATGCCAGAAACGCGTAACAATAATCAATACAATCCTAGGAGGTTTGAACTTCATGGGATTTTGATAGAAATAATGTCCACTTATTTAGTATGTCAGAACATGTTTTATTTAATGTGCATTTCTCTATTATGTTCCGTGCATTGCACTCAGAACAAATATATTGATACAATCCCTAATGCATGACTGTGTTAACGCACTAACCCCCCAAAACACTATAATAAGGCTCATTTGGATGCTGACTGACTGGATATTTTAGAGAGATTCTTATTACCGTACATCAGGTCATTCACTATCACGCTTAGGCAGGCAAGTACATGTTGGTTTAATAATATGTGTATAATTAAACAATACATACTAGCCATTAAGTGAAAAAAATACATTTCCCCTTTAAATAAAATGCAAAGCAAAAGGAAACGTAGTTAAAGCTTATGCAATTTACGCTATGCGATCTGACCTGGCCAATAAACCAAGAACAACCCTAACCTTAAACTAAGTGAATTTACGTTGGTTTCGGAAGACGACACTATCACGCCCTACGCTTAGTACTTACGCCTGCGTTAAAAATCGACGGGGAGGAATTGAGAGAACTTCAAAATTTTAAACTCACCAGTAACTGCTAGACCGCCGGCAATCAGGAGAGACAATACACTGACTACTTCTCTCAGCATCAGGAGTATTCTAAAAGAAAAACAGACAAATTCGCCAGATCTGAACACATGATAAATTAACGAGATTGCACTATTTAGTCGTCGATCACTTAGAATAATATTTAAAAATCATTGTATGCAACAATGTGCTGCCGTTCACCGTCCTAACTCCCAGATGTCTGCATGAAAGGCATTTGAATGCTTCTTTAATATAAATTTTAAATAAATCAAAAACGTTGTAGTGCTTTTGAACCCACGGAAGAAGCTTAAAATCGCAGACTAGAAGGAGGTATGATACGCTTCTGAACTAGTCCCCTTATATATATAGATGCTTCTGTGACAAACAGTTATGCGATTTTGCAACGCAGGCAGTTGCTTACACGCAAGATTCACATGCACGCCATAACATTTTCCATTGTTCTTGTGACAAGCGAATGTCATGTGTTCGTAAGATGTGAGCGGCAGATGCTCCAGAAACGCAAACGTCTCTTTGAATTTAGCTCAAGGTCGCCGAGTATACGTAGACACATTCAACCCCTCCCCCATATTATTAATTAATACCTGTGAACTACCATCATTTCCA